AAAAAATACATTTTATAGAGATTAATTATAGTTTTACATACACACAACAAATACTATAGTGTTCAATTATGTATATAAATATAAAAACATTTTTACTTACCTTTATTGAAGATTGGTGATGGCATCTGGAAGATAGGCAGGAGGAGAGAGGGCGTTGGGGTTAGTGTTTGGAAAGAGAATCTCCCTCCGTGAGGACTTCAGGTAAAGCCCTCTCTGGGGTTACTTCCCTTCTGTCTTTTAATGCCACTAGGACCAGCTTGAGTCACTGGACCCCTGTCTCACAAAATAACTGTCCACATTCCTCTGTTTCTGGTGCCTCTTTTAAGATTTCCCTAAAATGGGACATGGTTCTGTCACTGAACTTGTTGCAAAGATGGCTTGTTTCAGCTTGCTCAGGGTGGTACTTCTGCACAAACATTTGGACATCATTCCACTTGGACATCATTCTGCTTCTGTATTATTTCCTTCTTCACATCTATGGTGTTTCTCACTTTCTTTACCACAGGTGGTGTACCACTAGCAAGTTTCTTTGGGCCCATGGTAGCTTATTTCACAGTCCCACAAGCATTAAACACAATGAAATAATCATAAAATGTTTGAATGAGAGCGCATGTTAGTGTTCACTCAAGCATAAACAAAGGCAGACTGGCTCACGGCGCCTGCGCGGGGACGCGGACAGAGCGGGCTGGCTGGCTAACAGGTCCGGTACCCAGCGGTCCGAAAATAGGGGCACGTTCAATAATAGGGACAAAGTTGTTCGAAAAAGGGGTTCTAATTTTGAAATGTTCGATATGTGATACGTTCGAATTTTGAGGTTCCACTGTACAGGTCTCCCTCAACATTCGCGAGGGTTAGGGGATCAAGAGCCTCGCGAATGTTGAAAAACCGTGAATGTTCGGTGCCCCAATATATTGTAGGGAAATATAATACAATACTGCTTCCTTAACTCCACCACTGCCTCCACCACTGCCTCCACCACTGCCTCCACCACTGCCTCCACCACTGCCTCCACCACTGCCTCCACCACTGCCTCCACCACTGCCTCCACCACTGCCTCCACCACTGCCTCCACCACTGCCTCCACCACTGCCTCCACCACTGCCTCCACCACTGCCTCCACCACTGCCTCCACCACTGCCTCCACCACTGCCTCCACCACTGCCTCCACCACTGCCTCCACCACTGCCTCCACCACTGCCTCCACCACTGCCTCCACCACTGCCTCCACCACTGCCTCCACCACTGCCTCCACCACTGCCTCCACCACTGCCTCCACCACTGCCTCCACCACTGCCTCCACCACTGCCTCCACCACTGCCTCCACCACTGCCTCCACCACTGCCTCCACCACTGCCTCCACCACTGCCTCCACCACTGCCTCCACCAATGCCTCCACCAATGCCTCCACCAATGCCTCCACCAATGCCTCCACCAATGCCTCCACCAATGCCTCAACCACTGCGAGTCCCTACTACCCTCCCTCTGACCCCCGCAACTGGCAGCCAGCCCTCCCACCACTCAGTGTGGTGAGTTTTGTTTTTTCATTATTTGTTATTAACCCTTTGAGGGTCCGTCCCGTAGATCTACGGCTTTATGTTCAGGGTCCAAACCGTAGATCTACGTCATGAGCTCAGCTCACTCTGATAAACTGTGAGTGGCACATTTGGACCTAGATATGACAGAATACATCTATGTGGTATGTGTGCACCACATAAAACAGATCCTGCAGCACGCTGTGTATAATGAGAGAAAAAAACTGAAATCATGATTTTTCGATTAAAACAGCGACTTTGCAGTGTTTTTTCGTATGTTTTTTATAGTTCTATTTGCGATTTCTTGGTCTCATTTGATAGAATGGAAGACATATTACAGAAATAGAGATGATTTTGATTGGTTTTAGCACTGGAAATGGCTTGAAACTGAGCTCAAAGTAGCAGAAATGTTAAATTTTTGCCGATATTCAAGAGTAAACAAACGACCTCACACGTCTAATACGCGCCAGCTGGTGGGTCTAATATGCATTCACAAATATGGTGATATTTATACAATTATTACAGTATTGCATAACAGTAACTCTTCTATTTTTTGGTGTGAATAAAAATTCATTATATGAATAAAAAATCAAAATGGAATTTATTTGTAAAGCCTCAAAACGTAACTAATGAACAGAGGAAATGTTAGTTTAGTTCCAGGAATACCTACATTGTTTATTCTGGACCCTATTTTGAAATTGGAATATTTTGAACTTTGTGTTAAATTGACCAAATTAACAATTTCCGATCACTTTAATTTGTAGTTGAAACAGTTGACTTGGCGATTTCTTGTGCTCAATCGATAGAATAGAAGTAATACTAGTGAAATAGCTAAGAATTTGGTTGACTGGAATAATGTAATTGGCCTAAAATGGGAGTCAAAGTCGGCAAAATCGCCGATTCGTAAATATCGCTGACACATCAAAATTCGCGAGAGCATAATTTCGTCAATTTTCCATCAAATTTCGTACTTTTTGTTTTATTACCTTGACAAAAAGATTCTCTACCATTTCATAAGAGAAAATAACAATTTTTTTTTTTTTAAATTCTTGGACACTGGGGCACCACTTCAGATTTGGGCCTTGGACCCTGAAGGGGTTAAACTACAGTATAAATAATGTAAACCATTCATGACTGCATATTGGAATGGCTATTAGGAGAGGTATTAGACGGTGACATCATGTGTTTACTCTTGAACACAGCAAAGAATCGAACATTTCTGCTACTGCTAATAATAACAATAGTAATAATAATAATAATAATTACGATATAATTGAAGAAGGAAATTGTACAAAAATACGAGGGAGTGGTTGACACATCGTCAGTGTGACTTTGTTTATGCTGGAGTGAGCATTAGTCTCCGTGCTCTTCTAAACTTTTCACAATAATTCAGTGGTTGAGGCAGTGGTATTTAATAACATATATGTTATAAATAATAATAATACATGTTATTTAACATGTACTATTATTAACATGCAAGTTATTAAATACTGCTGCCTCAACCGCTGCCTCAACCACTGCCTCAACCACTTAAGTCACACTCAATCTACAAGCACCAAACACAATGAATTATTGTGAAAAGTTTAGAAGAGCACGGACTCTAATGCTCACTCCAGCATAAACAAAGTCACACTGACGATGTGTCAACCACTTCCTCGTATTTTTGTACAATTTCCTTCTTCAATTATATCGTATTTATTATTATTATTATTATTATTATTATTAATTATTATTATTTACTTTTGTTATTAGCTGTAGCAGAAATGTTTAATTCTTTGCTGTGTTCAAGAGTAAACACACGATGTCACCGTCTAATACCTGTCTGAATAGCCATTCCAATATTCAGTCATAAATGGGTTTACATTATTTATACTGTAGTTTAATAGAAAATAATGAACAAACAAAACACTCGCCACACTGAGTGGTGGGAGGGCTGGCTGCCGGTTGCGGGGGTCGGAGGGAGGGTAGTAGGGACTCGCAGGTGGCGGGAAACTTAAATATGATGATTTGGTGGCTGGGAATTTGGTGGCTGGGAATTTGGCGGTTGGGAATTCGTGAATTTGTGAAGCCCGTGAAAGTTGAAAACATGAATGTTGAGGGAGACCTGTATAACTTCAGATCTTTTCTGTCTAGCTCACTTAGCTCATACACTTAGGTCTGGAGTTCAGATCTCCTCCGGTACGGCTGGAAAACATTAGGGACGTGTTTCCATAAGACACCTGCTGTCCTTGTTCACCCATCAGTAAAATGGGTACCTGGGTGCTAGTCGACTGGTGTGGGTCGCATTCTGGGACAAAACTGACCTAATTTGCCCGAAATACTCAGCATAACAAGGGGCTTTCTATATAGTAGTATATCATTGATGTCAGCTAGGACTGTATACCTTGTACGTGTACTTGCATTAAATAAAATAATGAATGTGGACACTGCACAGCATCTGTTCAAGAGAAAGGGGGAGGGGATTAGAAAAGTTAGAGGTGAATAGACAAGAGGGAGGGTGAGAAGGATTAGGAAAGGAGAGAGGAAGTGAGAAACACAAATAACCTGTACATAGGAGAGAGAAGCTTACAACGATGTTTCAGTCTGACTTGACCATTACAAAGTCACTGACAAAAAGATAGAGGGAGCCAGTATATACGTATAGGTGAGCTAACAGAGGCGAGACCAAGGTAGGGAGTGGTAGTAGTGGTAAGGCTGGTAGAGGAAGTAGTAGTAGAAAGTAGGGAGAGTAGTTTAACTCGTAAATGGTCTGAATGTATATATATGTTTTTACCGCTAGTGCCCCAAACGTATATATACGTTTTGTGTGTCCTACATTTAACATTGCCACGATAAGCCTGCGTCACCTAGACATGTGAGAATGAGCGTGAGCACTCACTGTGCACCATATTAAAAACAATTGGGGATGCCTGGGTACCATATGCTCTTTTTTCCTATTAAAAAACAATTTTTTTTTTCTCAAAGTTGGGGCAGTACGGTAGTGAACGTATATATACGTTTGGACCGTTTACGGGTTAAGTGGGACAAGAGATAGAAAAGGGGCGAAGGGTGAAGGGAGGCAAAAGTAAAGGTATTGGCAATAGTAGGAATGGTAGAATAGTAGTACTGTAGAATTGGGGTAAGTCTAAGGACAAGTAAAAGGAGCACTACAGGAGAGTGAAGGGTCCAGAAGGGTTAGGACCAGAAACACAGGGGAAGAGGGAGGGGGAACTGAAGAACAGAGCACCCTAGGCAGAAGAAAGGAAAACAAAGAAAGAAAAAAGGAAAAGAGATAGAGGAGGAGGAACACAGGATCAGGTTGTCGTTGTAAGCTTCTCTCGCCTATGGGAAGGTTATTTGTGTATTGTTCCAGTCATGGTATTATTCCTTTTTTGTTCAAGAGAGATTTTCAGTTTTTAGCCAAAATAAAATTTAGGAACAAAAAATTAAGCAAGAAATTATGATGGATAATGATCAGTCTTATTTCAGATCAAGCAAATAAATTGTACATCATTGAGAATGGTGGTGTGGCACTAATCTGTAGATGCCTCTCAGCCCAAGAGGAGTCTACAGTAATCTCTGCAATAACAACTCTTATGTTTCTTGTCACACCTCATTCCAAGGCAGGTCAGTTTATAATAAGTGCATCAAGCATAATAATTATTAGTGTTGATATTTTTTGTTTTACATGGCTTTTCTGTGGGGATAAGTTACTGAGATCATTCATTGACCAAAACTTTGTTTTCTTATTCTTACATATCACGTGTTAATTGCTTTACAGATATCGCCAGTAAAGACATAGTGCAGCAAATGTTGACCAAAGCTCGTAGTGAAAATCCACGCATTCGTAACGTTGCTAGAATCTTCTTGGACGATTACTGCACACCTGAACAGATTTTAAATGGACAGTCAGTACCATAGATTTTACATACTCTTAATGAATAGTGAAGAGTAAATTTTGAGCAAGAAAAACTTTTATTTCATAGACTTTTTTTTTTTGAAATGACAAATTGAATTCTCTTAATGTAGTGTATTTTGTGTACACTACTAATGAAATTGGAAATGAGTAGTGGCCATTCAGTACAATAAACTGTTGATGGAATGGCAAGCAGAATTTTCTTTCTAGTTTGTAGGTAAATAAAAGTTTGTCATTAGTTGGACATAATTGTTTTTTCATGTCACTACTTTTGAAGTTCCTTCTTAATGTAAGATGTTTAACATCTAGGAAGCTTTTACTTGTACGTGCACAATGCTTATCATTAAAAATAGGTGACACTGCAACTTTAAGAAAGAAAATTACCTCTGCAGACATTGAAAAATTTGCTAAACTCTCCGGTGATACGAATCCCCTTCATGTTGACAGAAATTATGTTGTAGCCAAAACTAGTTTCAAAAATTGTCTTGTTCATGGTGCATATTTAAACAGTCTTGTGTCAAGTGTCATTGGAACAAGGCTTCCTGGTCCTGGAGCAGTGGTAGTGAAAGAGGAGCTTAATTTTCCTAACCCATGTTATGTTGAAGAGGAGGTGAAAGTGACTGTAAGGTTGAGAGAGATTAGAAAAATTATTACAGTTGACTTTACGTGTGTGACAGATGCTGGGCAAGTTGTCCTCTGTGGAAATGCCAGACTTGTGATAAATCCATCAGTGAACAAAATAAGCTAATTTTTATTTAGGCATTTGCCCCAAAATGATATAAATAGTCATTTTGTCAAGAATTCATAAAGTATAGCTGAGCTTCAAAACTAGATCAAGATGAGTGGTGGAAAAGAATTGGTATTGAGCACTTTGAGGAGGGCTGCTAGCCAAGAAGCAGACACACTGAAACCTGCAGAGCAACAACTTCAGGAGTGGGAAACGGAACCAGGATTTTATTCCACTTTAGTTGAGGTAAGAGATGCTTGTCAAAAAGTATACTGTATTTTATTTTTTCAATTTGCATGCGAGTGTGTTTTTATACGTATATACTTCTAAACTGTTGTATTCTGGGCACCTCCGCAAAAACAGTGATTGTGTGAGTGAGGTGAAAGTGTTGAATGATGAAAGTATTTTATTTTTGGGGATTTTTTCTTTTTGGGTCACCCTGCCTTGGTGGGAGATGGCCGACTTGTTGGAGAAAAAAAAAATTTAATTCTTGTGCATTATCCAAGGTTTCTTGATTACACTTGCTGTATTCCACCTAATATATACAGTGGACCCCCGGTATTCGATGGCATCAGCATATGTTAAATCCGGTATTCGATACATTTTAACGCAAAAATTTTGCCTCGCCACTCGTTAAAAAACCCGCCGGGACGCATCCATGCAGTGCCAGTGTTTACAAGCCAGCCAGTGTTCTCACATCTAAGCATACATTCGGTACATTCCATATTATCACAGTGTTTTTGGTGCTTGTTTCTGCAGAATAAGTCACCATGGGCCCCAAGAAAGCTTCTAGTGCCAGCCCTGTGGTAAAAAGGGTGAGAATTAGTATGGAAATTAAGATTTTGAAGGGTTTGGGGCTAGCCCTGAGAAGCCTATGCCAGTTGTGGAATCCATTGTGCCTACTTCAAAAATTAAGGAAATGTGTGTAAAGTGGGTTGAACTGCAAACCTTTATGGATGAAAATCACCCTAACACAGCTATTGCAAGCCGTGCTGGTGACTATTACAATGACAATGTTATGGCCCATTTTAGACAAATCTTAAAGGAATGGCGACAGAGGTCCAGTGACTCTCAAGCTGGTCCTAGTGGCATTAAAAGAAGGGAAGTAACCCCGGAAAAGGACTTGCTGCCTCAAGTCCTAATGGAAGGGGATTCCCCTTCTAAACATTAACAACTTCGACACTCTCCCCTCCTCCCATCCCATCAATCATCACCAGATCTTCATTAAAGGTAAGTGTCATGTATTCTATTGTTAGAGTACTACAAACTGTGCATGTCTTCAGTTTGTGTGCATTAAACTTAATATTTCATGTGGTAAATTTTTTTTTTTCATACTTTTGGGTGTCTTGTAAGGATTAATTTGATTTCCATTATTTCTTGTGGGGAAAATTAATTTGCCTTCCGATAATTTTGGCATACTATGAGCTCTCAGGAACGGATTAATATCGAATACCGGGGCTCCACTGTATCTACTTCAATTTAGTTAGTAATTTTTTTTAAATAGTATCATGGAGGGGGTGTGTGTGTACTTGCCTAATTGTACTCGCCTAATTGTGGTTGCAGAGATAGTCATAGCTCCTGGCCCTGCCTCTTCACTGGTCGACACTAAGTCCACTCTCCCTGCTCCATGAGCTTTATCATACCTTAAAGCTGTGTATGGTACCTGCCTCCACTACCTCACTTTTCAGACTATTTCAATTACTGACAAATTTATGGCTGAAGAAATAGTTCCTAACATTCCTGTGACTCGCCCGAGTCGTCAGCTTCCAGTTGTGACCCCTTGCTGTGTCCCATCCCTGGAACATCCTGTCTCTGTCCATCTTGTCGATTCCTCTCAGTATTTTATATGTTATCATGTTCCCCCTGTCCTCCAGTGTCATGTCGAGTTTGCTTAACCTCTCCTCGTAGGACATGCCCCTTAGCACTGGGGCTAGTCTTGTTGCAAACCTTTGCACCTTCTTTAGTTTCCTGATGTGCTTGGACAGGTGAGGGTTCCAAACTGGAGCTGCATACTCCATTATGGGCCTGATGTACAGTGTACAGGGTCCAGAACGATTGCTTATTGAGATGTTGGAATGCTATTCTTAGGTTCGCTAGTTGCTCATATGCTGCAACAGTTATTTGGTTGATGTGTGCCTCAGGAGATGTGCTCAATATTATACACACTCCAAGATCCTTTTCCTTGAGTGAGGTTTGTAGTCTATGGCCCCCTAGACTGTACTCTGTCTGTGGTCTTCTTTTCCCTTCACCGATCTTCATGACTTTGCACTTGGTGGGGTTGAACTCCAGAAGCCAGTTTCTGGACCAGGCCTGCTGCATGTCCAGATTCCTCTGTAGTCCTGTCTTATCCTCCTCCGGCTGAATTCTCCCCATTAACTTGAATCGTCTTTAAACAGGAAGACTTCTGTGTGTTTTGTTTTTGGTGTGTTTTTGTTTTTGGTGTGTTTTTGTTTTTTCTGTATTGTTTGTGCTCTGTGTGTTTTTTTGTGTGTGTTTTTTTGTGCCTTGTTTTTTGTGGATTTTTTTTTTGCATGTTTTTTGTTTTTTTGTGTGTTTTCTGTGTTTTTTGTGTATTTTTTTTCTGTGTGTGTTTAAGACATTGGCCGTCTCCCACCGAGGCCAGGTGACCCCCCCCCCCCAAAAAAAAAGAAACTTTCACCATCATTCACACACAATCTCTGTCTTTTTGCAGAGACGCTCGCATACAGAAGTTTAGATGTCACTCCAAACAATAAATATTACATGCACACTATACACATTCAAAATATATTCATGGTGTGCTGGTGCATGTATTATATATATATATTTTTTTTTTTTTTTTTCAACAAGTCGGCCGTCTCCCACCGAGGCAGGGTGACCCAAAAAAGAAAAAAATTCCAAAAAGAAAATGCTTTCATCATCATTCAACACTTTCACCACACTCACACATAATCACTGTTTTTCAGAGGTGCTCGGAATACAACAGTTTAGAAGCATGTACATATAAAGATACACAACATATCCCTCCAAACTGCCAATATCCCAAACCCCTCCTTTAAAGTGCAGGCACTGTACTTCCCATTTCCAGGACTCAAGTCCGACAATATGAAAATAACCGGTTTCCCTGAATCCCTTCACTAAATATAACCCTACTCACACTCCAACAGATCGTCAGCTCCCAAGAACCATTCACTCCTATCTAACACTCTCACGCATGCTTGCTGGAAGTCCAAGCCCCTTGCCCACAAAACCTCCTTTACCCCCTCTCTCCAACCCTTTCGAGGACGACCCCCTACCTCGTCTTCCTTCCCCTATAGATTTATATGCTTTCCATGTCATTCTACTTCGATCCATTCTCTTTAAATGACCAAACCACCTTAACAACCCCTCTTCTGCCCTCTGACTAATACTTTTATTAACTCCACACCTTTTCCTAATTTCCACACTCCGAATTTTCTGCATAATATTTACACCACACATTGCCCTTAGACAGGACATCTCCACTGCCTCCAACCGTCTCCTCGCTGCTGCATTTACCACCCAAGCTTCACACCCATATAAGAGTGTTGGTACTACTATACTTTCATACATTCCCTTCTTTGCCTCCATAGATAACGTTTTTTGACTCCACATATACCTCAATGCACCACTCACCTTTTTTCCCTCATCAATTCTATGATTAACCTCATCCTTCATAAATCCATCCGCCGACACGTCAACTCCCAAGTATCTGAAAACATTTACTTCTTCCATACTCCTCCTCCCCAATTTGATATCCAATTTTTCTTTATCTAAATCATTTGATACCCTCATCACCTTAATCTTTTCTATGTTCACTTTCAACTTTCTACCTTTACACACATTCCCAAACTCATCCACTAACCTTTGCAATTTTTCTTTAGAATCTCCCATAAGCACAGTATCATCAGCAAAAAGTAACTGTGTTAATTCCCATTTTGAATTTGGTTCCCAATAATTTAATCCCACCCCTCTCACGAACACCCTAGCATTTACTTCCTTTACAACCCCATCTATAAATATATTAAACAACCATGGTGACATTACACATCCCTGTCTAAGACCTACTTTTACCGGGAAGTATTTTCCCTCTCTTCTACACCCCCTAACCTGAGCCTCGCTATCCTCATAAAAACTCTTTACAGCATTTAGTAACTTACCACCTATTCCATATACTTTCAACATCTGCCACATTGCTCCCCTATCCACTCTATCATATGCCTTTTCTAAATCCATAAATGCAATAAAAACTTCCATCCCTTTATCTAAATACTGTTCACATATATGCTTCAATGTAAACACTTGATCTACACATCCCCTACCCACTCTGAAACCTCCTTGCTCATCCACAATCCTACATTCTCTCTTACCTCTAATTCTTTCAATTATAACCCTACCATACACTTTTCCTGGTATACTCAATAAACTTATTCCTCTATAATTTTTACAATCTCTTTTGTCCCCTTTCCCTTTATATAAAGGGACTATACATGCTCTCTGCCAATCCCTAGGTACCTTCCCCTCTTTCATACATTTATTAAACAAAAGTACCAACCACTCCAACACTATATCCCCCCCTGCTTTTAACATTTCTGTCATGATCCCACCAGTTCCAGCTGCTTTACCCCCTTTCATTTTACGTAATGCCTCACGTACCTCCCCCACACTTACATTCTGCTCTTCTTCACTCCTAAAAGATGGTATACCTCCCTGACCAGTGCATGAAATTACTGCCTCTGTTTCTTCCTTAACATTTAAGTTCCTCAAAATATTCTCGCCATCTACCTAATACCTCCATCTCCCCATCTACTAACTCCCCTACTCTGTTTTTAACTGACTAATCCATACTTTCCCTAGGCTTTCTTAACTTGTTTAACTCACTCCAAAATTTTTTCTTATTTTCATTAAAATTTCTTGACAGTGCCTCTCCCATGCTATCATCTGCTCTCCTTTTGCACTCTCACCACTCTTTACCTTTCTTTTACTCTCCATATATTCTGCTCTTCTTATAACACCTCTGCTTTGTAAAAACCTCTCTTAAGCTACCTTTTTCTCTCTTATCACTCCCTTTACTTCATCATTCCACCAATCACTCCTCTTTCCTCCTGCCCCCATATATATATATGTATATATATATAATTGAGCTATGTGTAGAAAGAAATTTGGTAATTAATACATATTTTACAAAAAAGAGGATAAATAAATATACAAGGTATGATGTAGCACGTAATGAAAGTAGTTTATTAGAT